AGCGTCACAGTATTTCTCAGGGTGTGGTGGGAGTGTCACAGTGTTCCACAGTGTGTGGCGGGTGTCACAGTGTTCCACAGTGTGTGGTGGGAGTGTCACAGTGTTCCACAGTGTGTGGCGGGTGTCACAGTGTTCCACAGTGTGTGGCGGGTGTCACAGCGTTCCACAGTGTGTGGTGGGAGTGTCACAGTGTTCCACAGTGTGTGGTGGGAGTGTCACAGTGTTCCACAGTGTGTGGCGGGTGTCACAGTGTTCCACTGTGTGTGGCGGGTGTCACAGTGTTCCACAGTGTGTGGTGGGAGTGTCACAGTGTTCCACAGTGTGTGGTGGGAGTGTCACAGTGTTCCACAGTGTGTGGTGGGAGTGTCACAGTGTTCCACAGTGTGTGGCGGGTGTCACAGTGTTCCACAGTGTGTGGCGGGTGTCACAGTGTTCCACAGTGTGTGGTAGGAGCGTCACAGTGTTCCACAGTGTGTGGTGGGAGTGTCACAGTGTTCCACAGTGTGTGGCGGGTGTCACAGTGTTCCACAGTGTGTGGTAGGAGCGTCACAGTGTTCCACAGTGTGTGGTGGGAGTGTCACAGTGTTCCACAGTGTGTGGCGGGTGTCACAGTGTTCCACAGTGTGTGGTGGGTGTCACAGTGTTCCACAGTGTGTGGTGGGAGTGTCACAGTGTTCCACAGTGTGTGGTGGGAGTGTCACAGTGTTCCACAGTGTGTGGCGGGTGTCACAGTGTTCCACAGTGTGTGGCGGGTGTCACAGTGTTCCACAGTGTGTGGTGGGAGTGTCACAGTGTTCCACAGTGTGTGGTGGGTGTCACAGTGTTCCACAGGGTGTGGTAGGAGCGTCACAGTATTTCTCAGGGTGTGGTGGGAGTGTCACAGTGTTCCACAGGGTATGGTAGGAGCGTCACAGTATTTCTCAGGGTGTGGTGGGAGTGTCACAGTGTTCCACAGTGTGTGGCGGGTGTCACAGTGTTCCACAGTGTGTGGTGGGAGTGTCACAGTGTTCCACAGTGTGTGGCGGGTGTCACAGTGTTCCACAGTGTGTGGCGGGTGTCACAGTGTTCCACAGTGTGTGGTGGGAGTGTCACAGTGTTCCACAGTGTGTGGTGGGAGTGTCACAGTGTTCCACAGTGTGTGGCGGGTGTCACAGTGTTCCACTGTGTGTGGCGGGTGTCACAGTGTTCCACAGTGTGTGGTGGGAGTGTCACAGTGTTCCACAGTGTGTGGTGGGTGTCACAGTGTTCCACAGTGTGTGGTGGGAGTGTCACAGTGTTCCACAGTGTGTGGTAGGAGCGTCACAGTGTTCCACAGTGTGTGGCGGGTGTCACAGTGTTCCACAGTGTGTGGTAGGAGCGTCACAGTGTTCCACAGTGTGTGGTGGGAGTGTCACAGTGTTCCACAGTGTGTGGCGGGTGTCACAGTGTTCCACAGTGTGTGGTAGGAGCGTCACAGTGTTCCACAGTGTGTGGTGGGAGTGTCACAGTGTTCCACAGTGTGTGGTGGGAGTGTCACAGTGTTCCACAGTGTGTGGCGGGTGTCACAGTGTTCCACAGTGTGTGGCGGGTGTCACAGTGTTCCACAGTGTGTGGTGGGAGTGTCACAGTGTTCCACAGTGTGTGGCGGGTGTCACAGTGTTCCACAGTGTGTGGTGGGTGACACAGTGTTCCACAGTGTGTGGTGGGAGTGTCACAGTGTTCCACAGTGTGTGGTGGGAGTGTCACAGTGTTCCACAGTGTGTGGCGGGTGTCACAGTGTTCCACAGTGTGTGGCGGGTGTCACAGTGTTCCACAGTGTGTGGTGGGAGTGTCACAGTGTTCCACAGTGTGTGGCGGGAGCGTCACAGTGTTCCACAGTGTGTGGCGGGTGTCACAGCGTTCCACAGTGTGTGGTGGGTGTCACAGTGTTCCACAGGGTGTGGTAGGAGCGTCACAGTGTTTCTCAGGGTGTGGTGGGAGTGTCACAGTGTTCCACAGTGTGTGGCGGGTGTCACAGTGTTCCACAGTGTGTGGCGGGTGTCACAGTGTTCCACAGTGTGTGGCGGGTGTCACAGTGTTCCACAGTGTGTGGTGGGAGTGTCACAGTGTTCCACAGTGTGTGGCGGGAGTCACAGTGTTCCACAGTGTGTGGCGGGTGTCACAGTGTTCCACAGTGTGTGGTGGGAATGTCACAGTGTTCCACAGTGTGTGGTGGGAGTGTCACAGTGTTCCACAGTGTGTGGCGGGTGTCACAGTGTTCCACTGTGTGTGGCGGGTGTCACAGTGTTCCACAGTGTGTGGTGGGAGTGTCACAGTGTTCCACTGTGTGTGGTGGGAGTGTCACAGTGTTCCACAGTGTGTGGTGGGAGTGTCACAGTGTTCCACAGTGTGTGGCGGGTGTCAGTGTTCCACAGTGTGTGGCGGGTGTCACAGTGTTCCACAGTGTGTGGCGGGTGTCACAGTGTTCCACAGTGTGTGGCGGGTGTCACAGTGTTCCACAGTGTGTGGCGGGTGTCACAGTGTTCCACAGTGTGTGGCGGGTGTCACAGTGTTCCACAGTGTGTGGTAGGAGCGTCACAGTGTGTGGCGGGTGTCACAGTGTTCCACAGTGTGTGGTAGGAGCGTCACAGTGTTCCACAGTGTGTGGTGGGAGTGTCACAGTGTTCCACAGTGTGTGGCGGGTGTCACAGTGTTCCACAGTGTGTGGTAGGAGCGTCACAGTGTTCCACAGTGTGTGGTGGGAGTGTCACAGTGTTCCACAGTGTGTGGTGGGAGTGTCACAGTGTTCCACAGTGTGTGGCGGGTGTCACAGTGTTCCACAGTGTGTGGTGGGTGTCACAGTGTTCCACAGTGTGTGGTGGGAGTGTCAGTGTTCCACAGTGTGTGGCGGGTGTCACAGTGTTCCACAGTGTGTGGTGGGAGTGTCACAGTGTTCCACAGTGTGTGGCGGGAGCGTCACAGTGTTCCACAGTGTGTGGCGGGTGTCACAGCGTTCCACAGTGTGTGGTGGGTGTCACAGTGTTCCACAGGGTGTGGTAGGAGCGTCACAGTATTTCTCAGGGTGTGGTGGGAGTGTCACAGTGTTCCACAGTGTGTGGCGGGTGTCACAGTGTTCCACAGTGTGTGGCGGGTGTCACAGTGTTCCACAGTGTGTGGCGGGTGTCACAGTGTTCCACAGTGTGTGGTGGGAGTGTCACAGTGTTCCACAGTGTGTGGCGGGTGTCACAGTGTTCCACAGTGTGTGGCGGGTGTCACAGTGTTCCACAGTGTGTGGTGGGAATGTCACAGTGTTCCACAGTGTGTGGTGGGAGTGTCACAGTGTTCCACAGTGTGTGGCGGGTGTCACAGTGTTCCACTGTGTGTGGCGGGTGTCACAGTGTTCCACAGTGTGTGGTGGGAGTGTCACAGTGTTCCACAGTGTGTGGTGGGAGTGTCACAGTGTTCCACAGTGTGTGGCGGGAGTGTCACAGTGTTCCACAGTGTGTGGCGTTAGTGTCACAGTGTTCCACAGGTGTGGTGGGAGTGTCAGTGTTCCACAGGGTGTGGTGGGTGTGTCACAGTGTTCCACAGTGTGTGGCGGGAGTGTCAGAGTGTTCCACAGGTGTGGTGGGAGTGTCAGAGTGTTCCACAGGGTGTGGTGGGAGTGTCACAGTGTTCCACAGTGTGTGGCGGGAGTGTCAGAGTGTTCCACAGGGTGTGGCGGGAGTGTCAGTGTTCCACAGGGTGTGGCGGAAGTGTCACAGTGTTCCACAGTGTGTGGCGGGAGTGTCAGAGTGTTCCACAGGTGTGGTGGGAGTGTCAGTGTTCCACAGGGTGTGGTGGGTGTGTCAGAGTGTTCCACAGGTGTGGCGGGAGTGTCAGAGTGTTCCACAGGTGTGGTGGGAGTGTCAGAGTGTTCCACAGTGTGTGGTGGGAGTGTCACAATGTTCCACAGTGTGTGGTGGGAGTGTCACAGTGTTCCACAGTGTGTGGTGGGAGTGTCACAGTGTTCCACAGTGTGTGGTAGGAGCGTCACAGTGTTCCACAGTGTGTGGCGGGTGTCACAGTGTTCCACAGTGTGTGGCGGGTGTCACAGTGTTCCACAGGGGGTGGTGGGAGTGTCACAGTGTTCCACATGGTGTGGCGGGAGTGTCACAGTGTTCCACATGGTGTGGCGGGAATGTCACAGTGTTCCACAGTGTGTGGCGGGTGTCACAGTGTTCCACAGGGTGTGGTGGGAGCGTCACAGTGTTCCACATGGTGTGGCGGGAGTGTGACAGTATTCCACATGGTGTGGCGGGAGTGTCACAGCGTTCCACAGTGTGTGGCGGGAGTGTCAGAGTGTTCCACAGGTGTGGTGGGAGTGTCAGTGTTCCACAGGGTGTGGTGGGAGTGTCACAGTGTTCCACAGGGTGTGGTAGGAGCGTCACAGTGTTCCACAGGGTGTGGTGGGAGTGTCACAGTGTTCCACAGGGTGTGGCGGGAGTGTCAGAGTGTTCCACAGGGTGTGGCGGGAGTGTCACAGTGTTCCACAGTGTGTGGCGGGAGTGTCAGAGTGTTCCACAGGTGTGGTGGGAGTGTCAGTGTTCCACAGGGTGTGGTGGGAGTGTCACAGTGTTCCACAGGGTGTGGTAGGAGCGTCACAGTGTTCCACAGGGTGTGGTGGGAGTGTCACAGTGTTCCACAGGGTGTGGTGGGAGTGTCACAGTGTTCCACAGTGTGTGGTGGGAGTGTCACAGTGTTCCACAGTGTGTGGTGGGAGTGTCACAGTGTTCCACAGGGTGTGGCGGGAGTGTCACAGTGTTCCACAGGGTGTGGCGGGAGTGTCACAGTGTTCCACAGTGTGTGGCGGGAGTGTCAGTGTTCCACAGGTGTGGTGGGAGTGTCAGAGTGTTCCACAGTGTGTGGCGGGAGTGTCACAGTGTTCCACAGGGTGTGGCGGGAGTGTCACAGTGTTCCACAGCGTGTGGCGGGAGTGTCACAGTGTTCCACAGGGTGTGGTGGGAGTGTCACAGTGTTCCACAGCGTGTGGTGGGAGTCACCTTGCACTTGGAGAGGCGGTAGACGGTGTGGAGCGTGGCGTCAAGGAGCGGGGCGTGCTGGTCGGCCTCAGCGTAGAAGCTGGAGTGAGAGATGAGGGCGGGCAGGATGGAGTTACCAATGTAACGGTTGAGGGCCAAGCCCATCTCCGACTCCGTCCCGTCTGACTGTAGGGTAACACAGTAAGGGATCACATTAGTGAGAGCTGTCGTGTAAATGAGCACCTCCAACACCCCAACATAGGCCATATTAATATACAGTTTGCATCAGAGTCGTCTGGAGAAGCATCAGGAGACAGCGCTAGTATTGAAAGGACTGAAATTAGCATTGCTACTCTTAAAGAATTCAATTTTTAGCTTTTTTGTGCATGAAAACATTGTCTCAAATATTTATACATAATCTGGTGTCTATCAAAATTGGTTATGTAGAGTAAAGAAGTTATGTAAGCATGAGGAACCTTATCTAGCGAGGTGGCGGCGCGGAGGTCGGGCAGGAAGGCGTCCTCCAGGAGACGGAAAAAGAGCTCCACATTGTCCATGCCGTAGACACGCTCCAAGAAGAGCACAACACTCTGCTTGTGTGCTGGGATCAGGCCGGGAGGGATGTCGCTGCGGCCTTCCTCCGCCGCTGTCGTCGACAGAGTGAAGCGCAGCGACAAAACACCCTAGAAAGGCAATCATTCACATTTTAATTTTTTTTTATTAATCTCAATTAAGGGACTGACTGTGTGTGTTTATTCACCTAGTTGTGCTTGCGGGGGTTGAGCTCTGCTCTTTCGGTCTGCCTCTCAACTGTCAATCAATCAACTGTTTTTTTCCCTACACACACATAACCCCTGAGGAAACAGCCCATAACAGCTGTCTAACTCCCAGATACCTATTTATTGCTAGGTAAATACTGTGTGTGTGTGTGTGTGTGTGTGTGTGTGTGTGTGTGTGTGTGTGTGTGTGTGTGTGTGTGTGTGTGTGTGTGTGTGTGTGTGTGTGTGTGTGTGTGTGTGTGTGTAATTACCTAACTGTAGATACAGGATGAGAGCTACGCTCGTGGTGTCCCGTCTTCCCAGCACTCTTTGTCATATAAAAATTTGAAACTATTGACGGTCTTGGCCTCCACCACCTTCTCACTTAACTTGTTCCAACCGTCTACCACTCTATTTGCGAAGGTGAATTTTCTTATATTTCTTCGGCATCTGTGTTTAGCTAGTTTAAATCTATGACCTCTTGTTCTTGAAGTTCCAGGTCTCAGGAAGTCTTCCCTGTCAATTTTATCAATTCCTGTTACTATTTTGTACGTAGTGGTCATATCACCTCTTTTTCTTCTGTCTTCTAGTTTTGACATTTAATGCTTCTAACCTCTCCTCGTAGCTCTTGCCCTTCAGTTCTGGGAGCCACTTAGTAGCATGTCTTTGCACCTTTTCCAGTTTGTTGATGTGCTTCATAAGATATGGGCACCACACAACAGCTGCATATTCTAGCTTTGGCCTAACAAAAGTCATGAACAATTTCTTTAGTATATCGCCATCCATGTATTTAAATGCAATTCTGAAGTTAGAAAGCATTGCATAGGCTCCTTGCATAATATTCTTTATGTGGTCCTCAGGTGATAGTTTTCTATCTAGAACCACTCCTAGATCTCTTTCTTTATCAGAATTCTTTAAAGATTTCTCACATAATATATAGGTTGTGTGGGGTCTATGTTCTCCTATTCCACATTCCATAACATGACATTTATTAACATTAAATTCCATTTGCCAAGTGGTGCTCCATATACTTATTTTGTCCAGGTCTTCTTGAAGGGCATGACAGTCATCTAAATTTCTTATCCTTCCTATTATCTTAGCATCATCAGCAAACATGTTCATATAATTCTGTATACCAACTGGTAGATCATTTATGTAGACAATAAACATCACTGGTGCAAGAACTGAACCCTGTGGTACTCCACTTGTGACATTTCTCCATTCCGATACATTGCCTCTGATTACTGCCCTCATTTTTCTATCAGTCAGAAAATTTATCATCCATGATAGAAGCTTACCTGTCACCCCTCCAATATTTTCCAGTTTCCAGAACAACCTCTTATGTGGAACTCTGTCGAAAGCCTTTTTTAGGTCCAGATAGATGCAGTCAACCCAACCATCTCTTTCCTGTAATATCTCTGTGGCTCGATCATAGAAACTGAGTAAATTCGATACACAGGATCTTCCAGATCGAAAACCATACTGTCTGTCTGATATTATATCATTTCTCTCCAGGTGTTCTACCCATTTAGTTTTGATTAGCTTTTCCAATACTTTCACTATTACACTTGTCAATGATACAGGTCTATAATTGAGGGGGTCTTCCCTGCTGCCACTTTTGTAGATTGGAACTATGTTAGCCTGTTTCCACACGTCTGCTACGATTCCTGTACACAGGGATGCCTGAAAGATCAGGTGAAGTGGAATGCTGAGCTCAGATGCACATTCTCTCAGAACCCATGGTGAAACGCCATCTGGGCCAGCTGCTTTGTTCTTACCGAGCTCCTTTAGCATATTTTCCACTTCATCTCTAGACACCTCTATCCGCTCTATGTTGTTCTCTGGAATTCTTATTGTGTCTGGTTCTCTGAAGATTTCATTTTGTACAAACACACTTTGGAACTTTTCATTTAATGTTTCACACATTTCCTTTTCATTTTCCGTGAATCTGTTTCCCATTTTCAACCTCTGGATATTATCCTTTACCTGCAATTTGTTGTTTATGAATTTGTAGAATAGGCCCGGTTCTGTTTTACATTTATCTGCTATCCCTTTTTCAAAATTTCTTTCTGCCTCTCTCCTTACTGCTGTATAGTTGTTTCTCGCATCTTTGTATCGCTGGTATGTTTGAGGGTTTGGCCTCTTCCTATACTGATTCCATTTTTGTGTCTTTTGGTCTCTTGCCCTCTCACAATTTCTGTCGAACCAATCCTGTTTTCTGGCCCTGCATCTCTGTTTTGGTATGAATGTTTGTGTGCCTTCCTCGTATAGTTTTAAAAATTTGGCATACATTTCATTTACTTCCCTGCCTAGCAACAATTCTGTCCAATTACACTCATTAAAAAAATTTCGAAGTTCCCCATAGTTGTCCTCTCCTTAAATCGAGTTTATCAACTGTTTCAATGTCCCCATTTTCTTCTAGATGATATCTTAAAGCATAATCTATGTCTAACAGGACGTGATCACTCTTTCCCAAGGGAGGAAGGTACTGGATGTCAAATATCTCTTCTTCTTTCCTGGTGAATACTAGATCCAGTACTGACGGTACATCTCCTTCCCTCATTCTTGTGGCCTGCTTTATGTGTTGATACAAGAATGTCTCCAGAATGAGGTTCACAAATCTGCATGTCCAAAAGTCTTCCGTTCTTGCTTCATAGGCCTCCCAGTCTATTGCTTTAAAGTTGAAGTCCCCCAGTATCAACAGTCGTGATTTATCTTTATCTGCTTGTGCAATAATATCTCTCTTGACCATTATGAGGCCCTCTCGTTTGTCATCCAGTTCTTCCTTTGTCCAAGTGTTGCTTGCTGGTGGGCTGTAGTCATTTAAAATTATCAGCTTATCATCCTGATTCCAGACCTGCAATGCCATTATGTCAATATCTCAAGGGTTTTCAAATATTAACTCTCTTACCTTCAGGTGTTTTTTCACCAGTACAGCCACTCCTCCTCCCTTCCTAGTTTTCCTGTCACGTCTCCAAACTGAATAGCCTCTTGGGAGAGAGTGTGTGTGTACTCACCTAGTTGTGCTTGCGGGGGTTGAGCTCTGGCTCTTTGGTCCCGCCTCTCAACCGTCAATCAACAGGTGTACAGGTTCCTGAGCCTACTGGGCTCTATCATATCTACACTTGAAACTGTGTATGGAGTCAGCCTCCACCACATTGCTTCCTAATGCATTCCATTTGTCAACCACTCTGACACTAAAAAAGTTCTTTCTAATATCTCTGTGGCTCATTTGGGCACTCAGTTTCCACCTGTGTCCCCTAGTGCGTGTGCCCCTTGTGTTAAATTGCCTGTCTTTATCAACCCTGTCGATTCCCTTGAGAATCTTGAATGTGGTGATCATGTCCCCCCTAACTCTTCTGTCTTCCAACGAAGTGAGGTTCAATTCCCGTAGTCTCTCCTCGTAGCTCATACCTCTCAGCTCGGGTACTAGTCTGGTGGCAAACCTTTGAACCTTTTCCAGTTTAGTCTTATGCTTGACTAGATATGGACTCCATGCTGGAGCCGCATACTCCAGGATTGGTCTGACATATGTGGTATATAATGTTCTGAAAGATTCCTTACACAAGTTTCTAAAGGCCGTTCTTATGTTAGCCAACCTGGCATATGCTGCTGATGTTATCCTCTTGATATGAGCTTCAGGGGACAGGTCTGGCGTGATATCAACCCCCAGGTCTTTCTCTCTCTCTGACTCTTGAAGTATTTCATCTCCCAAGTGATACCTTGTATCTGGTCTCCTGCTTCCTACCCCTATCTTCATTACATTACATTTGCTTGGGTTAAACTCTAACAGCCATTTGTTCGACCATTCCTGCAGCTTGTCCAGGTCTTCTTGAAGCCTCAAGCTGTCCTCCTCTGTCTTAATCCTTCTCATAATTTTGGCGTCGTCAGCAAACATTGAGAGGAATGAGTCTATACCCTCTGGGAGATCATTTACGTATATCAGAAACAGGATAGGTCCAAGCACAGAGCCCTGTGGGACTCCACTGGTGACTTCCCGCCATTCTGAGGTCTCACCCCTCACTATAACTCTCTGCTTCCTATTCCTTAGGTACTCCCTTATCCACTGGAGCGCCCTACCAGTTACTCCTGCCTGTTTCTCCAGCTTATGCATCAACCTTTTATGGGGTACTGTGTCAAAGGCTTTCCGACAGTCCAAAAAAATGCAGTCCGCCCATCCTTCTCTTTCTTGCTTAATCTTTGTCACCTGATCATAGAATTCTATCAAGCCTGTAAGGCAAGATTTACCCTCCCTGATCCCATGTTGATGGGTTGTCACGAAGTCTCTTCTCTCCAGATGTGTTACTAAGTTTTTTCTCACAATCTTCTCCATCACCTTGCATGGTATACAAGTTAAGGACACTGGCCTGTAGTTCAGTGCCTCTTGTCTGTCACCCTTTTTAAATATTGGTACTACATTAGCAGTCTTCCATACTTCTGGTAGGTCTCCCGTTTCCAGTGACCTACTATACACTATGGAGAGTGGCAAACTAAGTGCTCCTGCACACTCTTTCAATACCCATGGTGAGATTCCATCCGGCCCAACAGCTTTTCTCACATCCAGCTCCAATAGGTGCTTCTTGACCTCATCTCTTGTAATTTCGAACCTTTCCATGGTCACCTGGTTTGCTGCCACCTCTCCTAGCACCGTGACTTCTCCCTGTTCTATTGTAAAGACCTCCTGGAACCTTTTGTTGAGTTCTTCACACACCTCTTTGTCATTCTCTGTGTACCTGTCCTCGCCCACCCTAAGTTTCATCACCTGTTCCTTCACTGTTGTCTTCCTCCTGATGTGACTGTGTAGTAGCTTTGGTTCGGTCTTGGCTTTATTAGCTATATCATTTTCGTACCTTTTCTCAGCTGCTCTTCTCACACTAACACACACACTGTGTGTGTGTGTGTGTGTGTGTGTGTGTGTGTGTGTGTGTGTGTGTGTGTGTGTGTGTGTGTGTGTGTGTGTGTGTGTGTGTGTGTGTGTGTGTGTGTGCGCGCGAGTGGTATAACAACCTAAATGTTCCAACATAAGTGTAAGTACCTCAGTGTAGTTACAGGATGAGACCTACACTCATTATCTTCCTGATGTTCTGAAACCTCTGAAGGTTTTGACCACCACTACACATTCACTGGAATTGTCTCCATCGTCCGCAACTCGGTTGCTGATGACCAGAGAGAAGTGGTTACTTATGTTTCAAACAATCATCTCATGAAATAAAGGAATTTCTAGGAGCAGGCTTCAGATGAGCTGAGGTAGGATAACAGCTCTTGCTTGTAGCTTCACTGGGTACTTTAACTGACAGTCCTAATGAACCCTAGTCTAAGTTAAAAAAAATAGAAAGAATTATAGGTTAGGTACTTATGCAACACCGTCGTGACGTTGGTGGTCTTGCTGTTATGTACAAGGCCAACATTCTCAAAGTTCCGCACCTGGCCCAACTCCGTGGACAACCAGTAGTTGGCCCTCATAACACTAGGCTCTCACCCCTTCAACAGTTTAATGCTGGAAGTCCCTTTCTTAAGAACATCACTCCATCAGCGATCATTCACTATTAGTCTCACTTGCATCTGGAACTTGTTCGCTCAACAGGTTGATACACAGAAGATCAGGTCAACTGATCACATAAAGGCTCTGGCACACAGTTGGTTACAGGCTCATCCTGTTCCTTATATGAATGTTACCTAATGCGGTTAATGAATAAACATTCCATTCACCTGGACTGTATGGGTCTCGAACGGCAGACCTCATGCGTGTGAGGCCCTAGCACTATCAACCAGCCTATGAGCAATCTTAAAAAGGAAAGTTTAGCAGTTAGATGCTGCCTCTGAAGCTTTCTTCTGAAATGAGCGGTCTTCTTTTTATTAAGACTGTTCATGGCCTAGTTGATAGTACTACGGCCTCACACGCGTAGCGTCTGCGGTTCGAGACTCATACAGTCCAGGTGAATGGTAGTTTACTTCCAAGGAAGTGTGAATATCAATATATATTTTAATGAATGAAGTTTATTCCTATTGATGCTTATAATAGGCTCATGAAATAAATGGGCGTCTAGAAGTAGGTTTCAACTGAGCTGAGGAATGATTACAGCTCTTGCTTGCAGTTTCACCAGGTTCTTTATATGATAGTTCTTTATGTGATAAGTTTTAAAGTACATTCTCATGAAATAAATGAGTCTCCAGGAGCAGGCTTCAGATGAATTGAGGTAGGATAACAGCTCTTGCTTGCAGTTTCACTAGGTACATTAACTGGCAGCCTTTATTAACCCTAGTATTAGTTACATAAATAAGAGAGACGGTGGGGCCGGAAAGGAGACAACACAATAAGTAAGAGAGCGCAACACTAGGGCGGTGAGAGCTCACCTGGAGGTCCTCTAAGGGTACCAGAGAGCGGAGGATGGCGCGTGCTCGCAGGCTGTCGTTCTTGCCCTGGGCAATGACATTGGCCTCAGGGGCGCAGCGACCCATCAGGTCGACTAAGGTGCAGTAGAAGGCTAGAATAGCAGCCCCAGTGTCTATGTAATCTTCGTCGTCGTCGCCAGCAGGCATCGGGTGGTCGATGGGAACTGCTCCTTCAGCCTCGGCGCCAAGACGTTGCGCTGAGATACGTTCTGACATCTGTAGTAAAAAAAATGAATACAAATTAATAACCTTTTCTTTCATGCTGGTATAACGACATCTAAAATATATATGTATTACTCTAGAAAATGTGTCCACACAATCTTCCATCTGTTTTACAGTACAATGCATCAATCGTGTGTATTTAATATTTTCAGGTACAGTGATAAATGAGTAGCACATGATTGGTACATTGGTGAGGTGAGGCCACCTTCACCTGGCTGACCTCCCTCATCACTCCTGCCTTACCTTGATGAACACTTGCCTTACACCTTGCGGCGTCCTCACACCTGGAAAGTCCTACTTCATAATGTTTACTCTCATCTGTGTATGTCTATGTCTCCAGCCATCTTTCAAGGTGTGTATTCTTCCCGTGCAATAATCATCCACCACAATTACTACTCTTAACACATACACAATTAACAACAGGATTACTACAATAAGGATGTAGAATATACTTACATGAACCATCCAGACTTTTGAACCGGTTGCTGACAAACACTAATATGTCTACAGTGTCCATACACCAGTATGTCTACAGTGACTATAACACCAGTATGTCTACAGTGACTATAACACCAGTATGTCTACAGTGTCCATAACACCAGTATGTCTACAGTGACTATAACACCAGTATGTCTACAGTGTCCATAACACCAGTATGTCTACAGTGACTATAACATCAGTATGTCTACAGTGTCCATAACACCAGTATGTCTACAGTGTCCATACACCAGTATGTCTACAGTGACTATAACACCAGTATGTCTACAGTGACTATAACACCAGTATGTCTACAGTGACTATAACACCAGTATGTCTACAGTGACTATAACACCAGTATGTCTACAGTGACTATAACACCAGTATGTCTACAGTGACTATAACACCAGTATGTCTACAGTGACTATAACACCAGTATGTCTACAGTGACTATAACACCAGTATGTCTACAGTGACTATAACACCAGTATGTCTACAGTGACTATAACACCAGTATGTCTACAGTGACTATAACACCAGTATGTCTACAGTGACTATAACACCAGTATGTCTACAGTGACTATAACACCAGTATGTCTACAGTGTCTATAACACCAACCACAACTAGCCTTAATGTCACCTGTCAACCAACCACAACTAGCCTTAATGTCACCTGTCAACCAACCACAACTAGCCTTAATGTCACCTGTCAACCAACCACAACTAGCCTTAATGTCACCTGTCAACCAACCACAACTAGCCTTAATGTCACCTGTCAACCAACCACAACTAGCCTTAATGTCACCTGTCAACCAACCACAACTAGCCTTAATGTCACCTGTCAACCAACCACAACTAGCCTTAATGTCACCTGTCAACCAACCACAACTAGCCATATTGTCACCTGTCAACCAACCACAACTAGCCTTAATGTCACCTGTCAACCAACCACAACTAGCCTTAATGTCACCTGTCAACCAACCACAACTAGCCTTAATGTCACCTGTCAACCAACCACAACTAGCCTTAATGTCACCTGTCAACCAACCACAACTAGCCTTAATGTCACCTGTCAACCAACCACAACTAGCCTTAATGTCACCTGTCAACCAACCACAACTAGCCTTAATGTCACCTGTCAACCAACCACAACTAGCCTTAATGTCACCTGTCAACCAACCACAACTAGCCTTAATGTCACCTGTCAACCAACCACAACTAGCCTTAATGTCACCTGTCAACCAACCACAACTAGCCTTAATGTCACCTGTCAACCAACCACAACTAGCCTTAATGTCACCTGTCAACCAACCACAACTAGCCTTAATGTCACCTGTCAACCAACCACAACTAGCCTTAATGTCACCTGTCAACCAACCACAACTAGCCTTAATGTCACCTGTCAACCAACCACAACTAGCCATATTGTCACCTGTCAACCAACCACAACTAGCCTTAATGTCACCTGTCAACCAACCACAACTAGCCTTAATGTCACCTGTCAACCAACCACAACTAGCCATATTGTCACCTGTCAACCAACCACAACTAGCCTTAATGTCACCTGTCAACCAACCACAACTAGCCTTAATGTCACCTGTCAACCAACCACAACTAGCCTTAATGTCACCTGTCAACCAACCACAACTAGCCTTAATGTCACCTGTCAACCAACCACACTCTCGCGCCTTAAAATACATAATTGCATATATATGAAGTAAATCATATACCTTCAAAATAATTACAATTTAAAAGAAATCAAAGTTATCCTAATGGTTTCTAATTGTGAAGATTGTGTGACAGAGATCACCATATTGGCACCCTGGCACATCCTCTGGCACCCTGGCACATCCTCCGGCACCCTGGCACATCCTCCGGCCCCCTGGCACATCCTCCGGCCCCCTGGCACAACCTCTGGCACCCTGGCACATCCTCCGGCACCCTGGCACATCCTCCGGCACCCTGGCACAACCTCTGGCACATCCTCCGGCACCCTGGCACATCCTCCGGCACCCTGGCACAACCTCTGGCACCCTGGCACATCCTCCGGCACCCTGGCACATCCTCCGGCACCCTGGCACATCCTCCGGCACCCTGGCACAACCTCTGGCACCCTGGCACATCCTCCGTCACCCTGGCACATTCTCCGGCACCCTTCCACATCCTCCGGCACCCTGGCACATCCTCCGGCACCCTTCCACATCCTCCGGCACCCTGGCACAACCTCCGGCACCCTGGCACAACCTCCGGCACCCTGGCACATCCTTCGGCACCCTGGCACAACCTCTGGCACCCTGTCACATCCTCCGGCACCCTGGCACATCCTCCGGCACCCTGGCACAACCTCTGGCACCCTGGCACATCCTCCGGCACCCTGGCACATCCTCCGGCACTCTGGCACAACCTCTGGCACCCTGTCACATCCTCCGGCACCCTGGCACATCCTCCGGCACCCTGGCACAACCTCTGGCACCCTGGCACATCTTCCGGCACCCTGGCACATCCTCCGGCACCCTGGCACAACCTCTGGCACCTTGGCACATCCTCCGGCACCCTGGCACATCCTCCGGCACCCTGGCACAACCTCTGGCACCCTGGCACATCCTCCGTCACCCTGGCACATCCTCCGGCACCCTTCCACATCCTCCGGCACTCTGGCACAACCTCCGGCACCCTTCCACATCCTCCGGCACCCTGGCACAACCTCCGGCACCCTGGCACAACCTCCGGCACCCTGGCACATCCTCCGGCACCCTTCCACATCCTCCGGCACCCTTCCACATCCTCCGGCACCCTGGCACATCCTCCGGCACCCTGGCACATCCTCCGGCACCCTGGCACATCCTCCGGCACCCTGGCACATCCTCCAGCCCCCTGGCACATCCTCAGCCACACTCCCGCAGCCGGATGTCCACACACTATGCGTGCCATCATCTGACCTGAGTGGGCGCCTGGTTCACAGAATATGTTAAAGAAACGCTCACCTTATTGGCGTCGATAATGGCGCGAAGGAGGCCTTCACCCTCGCCTCGCAGCGCCGGCCCCAGACACTCGGGCTTGCGGATCAGCAGACGGATGACCAAGTTAGCATTCTCCTCGACGCTCTCACCTGCGGGACACAACACCACGTTATCCCTGCCACGTTCACCTCTCACTATCCATACTCCCTTATTATTTCTTATTCTTCCCTTCTTCCTTCAGCCTACACTTTTAAGTATGTAAAGTTCTTGATAGATGCTAGAATCTATAATTTGAAGTATGATCCTACATACAAGCATCAACAGTTAAGTTAGAGGTTTAGGTCAGGCGCATCTCTTTATGACTTTACAGTAACTGTACATTTAATGTCCTGTTTGGTCAAATGTAGTATTACAAAACTGTAAGCGTAAAGCTTTAATATCTATCATACTAAGAGAGTGAGAAGAGTGACCATGACACTGCTGCCATAACCTCTCATAAGCTGGTGCTGGGGTGCACAAGCTGGTGCTGGGGTGCACACGCTGGTGCTGGGGTGCACAAGCTGGTGCTGGAGTGCACAAGCTGGTGCTGGGGTGCACACGCTGGTGCTGGGGTGCACAAGCTGGTGCTGGGGTGCACAAGCTGGTGCTGGGGTGCACACGCTGGTGCTGGGGTGCACAAGCTGGTGCTGGGGTGCACACGCTGGTGCTGGAGTGCACAAGCTGGTGCTGGGGTGCACACGCTGGTGCTGGGGTGCACAAGCTGGTGCTGGAGTGCACAAGCTGGTGCTGGGGTGCACACGCTGGTGCTGGGGTGCACAAGCTGGTGCTGGGGTGCACAAGCTGGTGCTGGGGTGCACAAGCTGGTGCTGGAGTGCACAAGCTGGTGCTGGGGTGCACACGCTGGTGCTGGGGTGCACAAGCTGGTGCTGGGGTGCACACGCTGGTGCTGGGGTGCACACGCTGGTGCTGGAGTGCACAAGCTGGTGCTGGAGTGCACAAGCTGGTGCTGGGGTGCACAAGCTGGTGCTGGAGTGCACAAGCTGGTGCTGGGGTGCACACGCTGGTGCTGGGGTGCACAAGCTGGTGCTGGGGTGCACAAGCTGGTGCTGGAGTGCACAAGCTGGTGCTGGGGTGCACACGCTGGTGCTGGGGTGCACAAGCTGGTGCTGGAGTGCACAAGCTGGTGCTGGAGTGCACAAGCTGGTGCTGGGGTGCACACGCTGGTGCTGGGGTGCACAAGCTGGTGCTGGAGTGCACAAGCTGGTGCTGGGGTGCACAAGCTGGTGCTGGGGTGCACAAGCTGGTGCTGGGGTGCACAAGCTGGTGCTGGGGTGCACAAGCTGGTGCTGGAGTGCACAAGCTGGTGCTGGAGTGCACAAGCTGGTGCTGGAGTGCACAAGCTGGTGCTGGGGTGCACACGCTGGTGCTGGGGTGCACAAGCTGGTGCTGGAGTGCACAAGCTGGTGCTGGGGTGCACAAGCTGGTGCTGGGGTGCACAAGCTGGTGCGGGGGTGCACAAGCTGGTGCTGGGGTGCACAAGCTGGTGCTGGAGTGCACAAGCTGGTGCTGGAGTGCACAAGCTGGTGCTGGAGTGCACAAGCTGGTGCTGGAGTGCACAAGCTGGTGCTGGGGTGCACAAGCTGGTGCTGGGGTGCACACGCTGGTGCTGGGGTGCACAAGCTGGTGCTGGAGTGCACAAGCTGGTGCTGGGGTGCACAAGCTGGTGCTGGGGTGCACACGCTGGTGCTGGGGTGCACAAGCTGGTGCTGGAGTGCACACGCTGGTGCTGGGGTGCACAAGCTGGTGCTGGGGTGCACACGCTGGTGCTGGAGTGCACAAGCTGGTGCTGGGGTGCACAAGCTGGTGCTGGGGTGCACAAGCTGGTGCTGGGGTGCACAAGCTGGTGCTGGAGTGCACACGCTGCCGGAATACAATTGTTTACGTTAAGCTCCCGTGCATGTTGTTTGCATCTTAACTAATTTACTCAAAGGTCATTAAGGTGTGAAGGCACACACACGCCTTGAGCAGCCCTGAGGACGCCAGATGAGGGAGCCATCAGGTCAAGTAATGTAGAACTGTGACAGTAACATGAAGTACTCCCTTCTAATGTATACGTGACATCTAGATTTACACACAAACTTGCTTCATTCACATACCTGATTAACTCATCCATGCACCTGAGTGCTTAATTCATTCTCATAACGCCAACATTCAAATTTTTGACTGATACATTTACATATGAAGCAGCAACACACATAAATGAAGCAAATACGTTTATGAGTTAAATTATAAATATGAATGAAGCAGTCTGATATATGGCTGAAGAAGCAGCTACATGAATGAAGTAAGCAATTATCAAAAGAAGGCACTAAGCCGGGAAGGCTATGTAGCACCATCAAATGTGCAGAATAATTACAGGGCGCTAAATATCACTAAGGATGCCAATATGAGAACAGAAACGCATAAGGCGAACGAAATCAAAAGTATCCGATTCACCAAGAATTCTATCGAAGGACAAGGGACAGCGAGGGACGGTCGGAAAGCAAGACACACTCGTTCGTCCTGAAAGTCAGGACATTCAACAAGGATATGCACAATAAGTAGAGGGAAAATGCAATTTGGACAATAAGGAGCATGGTGGCGCTCCATTAAGTGTCTGTGAGTTAAGTGTGCATGGCCAATACGCAACCTTGCCAGAGCCGGTTCCCGCCGCCGGTTACAGTGGTAGGAAGAAGGCCACGGGGACACTCTACTCTTAAGAGCACGCAGTTTTGTACTAGTAGCAGAGGGCCAACAACCCTGCCAACGGGCAAGGATGGAGGAATGAATAACTGGATAAAAGTCAGAATACGGAATACCTTTACGAGAGATGGGACAAGTATGGATAGGTTCTTTAGTGGCAGCGTCCGCACGTTCATTTAGAGACACCAATATGGCTGGGAACCCCGCAAAACTCCACTTTCTTAATTCTACTAGAGATAAGAAACCTGCAATGCTGAATTTCGACTTCCACTGGATGAACTGGATTAAAACACTCTGGAGCCATGTGGGCACTGCGAGAGTCAACAACAACAACAAAGGAGGATTGACAGCAAGAAAGCAGTTGACAAAGAGTATAAAGAATAGCATAAACTTCTGCCGTGAAGAGGCTAGTCTCCGGAAGCAGGCGACACATATAGGTGTGGTGAGGAAAAACAACAGAGTAGCCTACACCGTCTGCAGACTTAGACCCATCGGTGAAGACGGGAATGAAGAGGGAGTGAAAAGTAAAGTGTTCAAGGAAATGGCATTTCAGAACTGTAGGAGGGGTAAAAGCTTTAGTCGCTTGGGTCAGGGTTTTACAAAGTTTAGGAAGGGAGACCCTCCATGGGGGCAAGGATGGAACTACACGAGGAGAAATATTGGTAACAATAACCGAAAGAGAATTCTGTAGGAGTCAACACACAGAAAGAGGGAGGTGGTGAAGGGGAACAGGGACCACAGGAGGCTCAAAAGTCAAAGCACAACATAAGCGAGAGTGAGGATGTTGTAAGGACATGCAAGGTAGCAAAGACAGTAGCGATCACGGTGATCCTGGAGAGACAGGACGCCAATTTCAACATACAGGCTGAGGGTAGGAGTTGAATGAAAGGCACCAGAGCTGAATCATAACCCAGTATGGTGTAGAGTATCAAGACGATGACGAGTAGAAGGAGGAACAAACGAGCAAGCAGGGCAACCATAATCGCCTTTAGACAGAACAAGAGAGGAATGAAGGGAGGAGCATTCGCCTATCAGCTACCCAAGAAGTATGGGACACTACCTTAAGGAGGTTAAGGGCCTTGAAGCATTCAACTCGGAGGTAAGAGATATAGGGCGACCAAAACAAACTAGTGTCAAAGATTAACCCGAAAAGCTTAGCAGAATCTTTGTACTCAAGGGGATGGCCATAAAGTGGCAAAGAGGGACGAAAAACTACCTGCTTCAGAGTAAAATTCATAGCACTTGTCTTAGTTGTAGAGAACTTGAAGCCATGACTGGTGGCCCAAGACGACATGATATCAATCGCAATTCGAAATCGTCGTTGAAGGAAAGGAGAGTCATCACCTCGACAACAAAGGGTAAGATCATCAACATAGAGCACTGAGAAGATGCGAGAGGGAAGGGAGGAAAGAAGAACATTGAGGGCAACGAGGAAAAGAGTAGTGCTCAAAACACTACCCTGGGGTACACCTTTGTATTGCTGAAAAGAGGTAGAGAGAGTGGTACCAGCCTCACTCTAAAGGAACGACAAGAGAGGAAGAGGCGGAGGAGAGGGAGATTACCACGACGGCCAAAAGAACGAAGTTGGGTCAGAATATGTTATCTCCAGGTGGTGTCATATGTTTTTTCTAGGTCAAAAAGGACAGCAACAACGGAAGTCTTCGCAGGAAAATCAGTATGAATATAGACCTCCAAGTTCACCAAAACATCAGTGTGCTACGACACTTGCGAAAACCAAATTGAGAAGGGAAGAGGTGGTGATAGTATTTTAAGAACCACATCAGACGGACATTGACCATACGTTTAAAGAGTTTGCAAAAGCAACTCGTAAGGGCAATGGGTGGAAGTCCTTAGGGGATGTCCCGAGAGACCCCGATTTCCGAATAGGGATAATAATGGCATCGAGCCAGCCCTTGGGAACTGACGACGACTCCCAGACACGGTTATACAGATTCAGTAAATACTGAAACGCACATGGAGGGAGATGGCGAAGTATCTCATAATGAATGTCATCTGAGTCCACTGCTATAGAACCACAGAAGGCCAGAGCAGACTGAAGTTTGGAGAGAGATAGATCATTATAGGGAAGTCAGAGATGAGTGCGGAAATCTAAGGGATGAGATTCAAGGATGGGCTTATGAAGAAAGAAGGTGGCCCAGCCGCCGAATTGGGAAGGGACACAGTGATAGAGTCAGAGGTGGGGACGGGATGTTGGCGAGGAAGAAAGCCATGCCTTCTCACCCGCCGGAGAGGAGGAAAGAGAGAGGGGCCAGGCTTACGTTTCTGACTCAAAGAGACAGGTGTGCCAGCAACAACAACACTGGGTGACAAACTCAATTGTCTCAGCAGGAAAAGAGGAACGGGAGCAAACAATATGAAGACTGCTGGGAGGATGATGGACAACAGC